TATATATATATATATATGTATATATATATATATATATATATATATATATATATAAATTAAAAATGCTTAGCTTCAAAATAGCACAATTTGTTATTAATCACCTATTCCAAAATATGCAATTTAAATGCATAGGGTATTGTTTCTAAGTATCTACTCCCATCATATACTTACAATAAAAAACAAACGAAAACTTTCGCAACTGGACATTCTGCCATAAATGAATTACCTGAAACCTTGAGTGATGAATTGTCCAAATGGTGGACTCCATTCAAAACGAACTGTGTCGAGCACAGAACTGAATTTTAATTGAGCAGTGCCTTGACTACTCAGCTTGACCAGGAACACACCAAGAAACAAAGGAGTGCCCCAAGTGTGGTACTTCTTCAACACATGTGTGTCATATCCTTGTGAAAACTTCCCCAGGTTGCACCAGAGAGACTCGACTCGTAACTCCGTACTCCAGCGACATCCTCCTAGCAGCAACCCCAGAAATGGCCACTTATACCCATATTCTACAAAAATATGCAGAACATATTTTAATATCTGCATTACACACTTCTCTACAGCAACAAAATATCAGAAGCAAGACCACACAATATAACTATACAGAATTATTCAAAACACTGTACACCATTTCAAACATTTATTCCACAAAATACATGATAGAAGCACAAAACAAAATCTACAAGGATGCAGCAAACCATAAGTTTTGAATACAACATCCAAATATCTGTAGTTCTTGCAGTGCTCAGTAGAGTCGTTGATGCACTGCCTGTTAAAAAATGACTACGCATGTCAAGCAAGCCAAGTGCGTTCTCTGGTTCAGTGAGACTAAATAAATTGTTACAACATACAGAAGGTACAGAATCAGTTTCACAAGGAACCTCCAACAAAGAGAAATATTTAAAAAATTAAAGTAGGTTTTGGAGACTGGATGTTTGTATAGTGACAAAATCCCCCAGTTGATGAAACTGTTGAACAGATGTAACTCGCTTGTTAATACGCAAGTCTTAATAGCAACTGCTCAGTCTCCAACATCATGGTTGATGTGGGAAATAGCCATGAGTCCCCAGCACATTTTCCAACCTGTCAATATAATGCCTCTCCCTTACTGGCATGGAGGTCATTCAGAGGGCAAACAATCTGAGGAGTCATTTGTCCCACTCCAGATCTCAGACCTCGTTCCTCAACCTGTTGAATGATGATACACCTGTACCTGCTCTTTCTGAGGTCTGTTCCCCTTCTATTCTGCATCAGAGATCTGTGAAAATCTGATGATGGGGTTCAACATTCTGCGAAGTTTGGAAACCATTATTTGGGTGCAACCACATCCTCAACCTCTGGATCCATATCCCCTGATGCTTTGGCTATTACTTTAGTCTCCTGGAATTTGAGCCAATGCCCAAACTAAATGTTACATTCCACTACCGCACATTTTTCCGGTTCCCAAACATGTTTCAATGGATCGACCTGTCCATCCTATGCACTCTTTTTCACAATCACAAGGTCTACTCCATACTCCTGGGACATTCAGCCACAAGTCATCTTTCACTGGTTTCAACAAAATTTTATCATTTTGATGAATGCATGACAGGTGGTGCGCATAAAAAACCTCTAGACACAAACTTGAAGGTACCTCATCTCTACGTTCTACATTTCATGGTTGCACAAATTATGGGTTTCAAGCAATAAATATCCAAAGAGGTGTACAATACTGAAAAACTCTACTTAAGCTTTACCACAAACTCAGGAAAATATTGGACTAGTAGCTTAAATTAGGTCACTACCACTACCTTCCTCACTTTCTTTCATTAACCAATCATATGACAGCACAAATTCTGAGTTACTGACAGTGCTGTTAAACAAACCACAAACAAACAACCAAGATTTCCCAAATAGGCACAGAGATACATTGGAACGTACGCACAGAAATAGGACATGGTAATCTTGAAGGCACAGGGCTAGCAGGAAATATGATATGTGAAAATTAAGAAATATTCAACTATTACCTACTGACTCTAACCATGGCCTTGTGTGGGCCTATGACGATTACTATTTGCCATACCTGGTAACTGCAAGTTCACTGGAAACACGCTCACTACATGCACTTTCACATTACACTGCACTGTTCCTTGAGTCTGAGATTAGGACTGTACAAGCACAGACAATATATGATCACATGCACTTCCTAGCAAGCAATGTGTAGGGATGATGTAAACAATATAACACTGTCCCCATGCAATCAAAAGACAGTCAAAGCAAACAGAGATTCAAATACTAAGTAAATGCACAACTAGGTCTGCAATAAAGAGACAGAAATGTTAGTTACCTCGTGCATCTGAGTGTTTCTCAAGCATAAATTTTGTGTCTGAATGGCTGAAACCAACCGAGGCACAGTGGGCATCTTCTGACAGCCGTATTAAAGCAGACACAGCCCACAGCTCCACAAGGCCTTTTATTTGGCACTGGCTAACCACACTATCCAGCCAAGTTCTTGCAGGACCCGCAGTTTCTCGTCTTAGTAAGACCACCTCGTCTTCCATTTCCTGCACAAATGACCAAGTGTGTGAACAGAATTCAAAATTACCAAAGTGTTAAAGTTACATGTCATAAATGTTAAAATAAATAAATGATTTGCCTACATAAGAATCAGAGTTAATATTTACCTGTGCATTATAAATGTTGGGAAAACTTGTAAGAACCCAGGAATAAATGTCCTTGTGACTGTAGGTAACAGTGAGGGTGTCGAGACGAATGTACGTGTTCAGAACGGCATCCTGCAACTGGAATGGACAACAATGCATAGAATCAGATACCTATTCATCTTGGTTGACAGAAAATTAATAATAACAGTGATGATGGTGTCAGTTTTTGTTTCTTATGAACAGCCAACTTGCTGACGTACCATTGCAGCTAGAAACAGGAAATATAATGTTGAGAGAGAAACTTCTCTGTATGACAGAAGAATTCTGTTCTGGATTTTGACCCCAGGTATGGCCTGTTCAGTGCCTGCGCCCTCCTCAATAAACTAAAATAGTCCATTTCTGAGGTGAGGATACATGAAATATACCAGCATGGAAAATGTGTAAATCCTGGAGGATATGTTTACAAGAATCACAAACCAGCCTCAAGAAGTCACCTCTCATCTGCATACTTCCTGTAATTATGCTACATTTACCAGTGTTGTTTCTAGTTAATCTTGCTGCAAATTTCAAATGCATTTAAACTACATTACTACATACATACCTTGCTATCAAATGCCAGCTTCCTGAGCAGTAGTATGGTTTCCTTGTTGCATTTCACACTCAGTTCATCAACTTGAACTTCAACAGCTAGGAATATCTGCGGCAACATGTCAACCACTACAAAGAATCAGATATTCAAACACAAAAACATTATATAAGAATACATGGGTGCAGATAAAATATCATACAACACTTCATTAAGAATTCTGTGCCAACAAAGCATACTGTGGATCTATATACTTTTACAGGATCAGTAATTGCACATGGGTTCTCATTCAAATTGGATTTATTCTACGCATTACTACAATTAAAAATTTGTCTTGAAATAATGTTGTCAGTCCATAAATCACAGTTGTAATAATGGTCCTCTCGTGCTCCAGGCTAAATACTTCTTGTTCACTGTACACCTGTCTACCGTCATCATCTTCACAGCTTGTTTAGTAGTGGCCGCCGCTCAGTATTTGCACCAGCAAAGACTGTCATTCAACTGAAGTCCATCTCTCTTGAATCACAGCAACAACACAATATTTGCAACGCATCCAGCATGCACACTTTTATGAGAAGAGATGTTCTGAGACAGCATTCCAATTCTCCACTGCTTTCCAATTATTCTTTGAATGTCCTACGATTCTAGGTAAATCTGGCTCCTCTGAGGTCACTTGGGAATGTTCAAGAACAGAGTATGGCATTCTAAATGTCTCTTGTCCCTCTCTCGCCTTCTCCCAGGGTGACAAAGCACACAGATATTTCTTGCCTATAGTTCAGCTCTAGTGGTTGTTACTGGCATCAGCTGGCACTAATAACAATTTTTAATGAGTTTCATAATATCTCAATCATGTGAAAGTGAGAGGTGCACCAAGACCTAAAAGCTTGCTAACATTTCCAGGGAGAACATCAGTTACGTACATTACAACAATAAGGTTACTCACATAAATGTTTAAAAAGAGTAGCAATAAACAATGCAGAATTCATGGCCCTACTCAGGATTTTTTTATATTAGTGCCACTGTTTTTAAACAGAGACACTCCCCAGAAACATTGTCCCTTACAACCCACTTGCGTGGGTGTGAACACACTCACTCACTATTTGTTTCTTCCCACAAGCAAAATTTGAGCACTCACTGCCCAAGTTCCTCACTGATTTTGTGTTGGATCTTAAATTTATTTAATCTTTTTCAATATAAGTAAAAGGTGAAAGACTAATACTAACCCTAATGCTAAGGATGTAACTGCATCTTATTTGGATGTTAGAAACATACTACCTTATCTAATGAAACAGAAGTTGATATAAGTTGATGAAGTTGAATAATGATATTCAACCACATGTGATTAACAACTGGAACACATTTGAAAAATAAAACAATATTGGGTATGTTTAAAGATTTTTTTTTCTGAACAGGTGGTGAAACATATCAATTATCTATGAGCTTACAGGGATAAAAAATACTTACCGAGTAACAAATGAACTGGTTTTTTTTCAGGAAAGTTTTATGTTGCCAACTCAGGAATTTATGTATGTGTTATAGTTTCTGCAACAACCCAGAACTGACAAACAAATGTGCATAAGTACTGTCAAAACTCTTTTCATTACCTTTTGTTTCTACTACGCCAGTGCTTGGTGGACAAAAATGTGTATCAATCTGAAAACACTGCAGAGTGGCACTGAAGTCCGTATGACTATCCCTCATTCCTGTTAAGACTGAGTCTTCAATTCTGAAGTTGAAATTCTGTAAAATAAAAAGCTAAATATCATCACAAATTCAAACATTTCATGAATTCGCCTACACACAGTATTTCACACATTATTCATTACCTAACCTTTGGTATAATTGGAAAAATCCTTTGAAAAATATCAGCTTCAGCTGAGTACACCAAAGATTTCCCAGGACTTCGATCAACCTCACTTGTCTGCCTTCGTTCCTGGGCAAAATTATAGAAGCCTTCATTGATGACAGCTTTGGTATGATCCATTCCCACATAAAGTTTCTGAAAGTGTACAAGACCTTTCATCTTTTGTATTCTGTATGATGACAAGGGAAGGAGACTCTCTTACACTGAATCATAAAAGAATGCCATGTCAACATATGTGTGTGTGAACTTCATGAATTACTACTACTAATGAGTGCTAATCCTACCAATAGCAATAGCAGGGTTAAAAAAATTGGTCTATAAAATGGAGATTTTTTATTTTCATGATAGGATATCGTGTGTCTGTGTGCGCGTGCATGCATGGAAAGGAAGAAGCAACCCGTATCAGAGGTGCCAGGGGACCAACAGTGAAGATCACAGAAGACAAAGAAAATGAAAGTTAAGTGAATAGGGAAAGGAAAAGAAAGCAATATAATTCAAGAACTGGGAGGGGACAAGGGCGAGGAGAGACGAAACTGGCTGGGGCCAGGCGAGAGTCCTGGTCTAGCAGCCATGTCAGGACAAGCACTGTACATATGGCAGAGATTCTTATGTCCTCTGAGGGAATGGATGTGAGGCTTCCATGACTGGCTCAGGATGACATCATTCTCCCTGTTCCTGCTGTCTGGGTTTAACTCCATCTCAATGGCCCTCCTGATCATTCAGTCAATGTATATGAATTTGGTGGAAAGGATGCTGGTGTTCTAGAGTTGGATTAGATGGCTTAGGCTAATGCTGATCCAGATGGATGAATGCTGATTACTCATTGCCCTGAAGATCGAGGCAGTAAGCACCTCTGACATGTTTGTCAATTTCAACAAGATGACACAACACAACATCCCAGAAGAAAGTCATGGGACTGGAACTGGCATAAAATGGTTATGTCCATGCCTAGACAAATGAGATCTGTTCTATCAGTATTCTGTATAAATTTCCTATTTCAGTCACATGTGCTATTTTGTATTCAACTTAGGTGCTGTACTTTAACAACATTATACACAAAATTATGGTGGAGAAAGTGATCAATTGGAAGACTGAGAATGAGATGGATGGATGGATGTTATTAAGATAAAGGTAGATGGAATTGTGTCCAAAAGTTGGGTTTATTAATAGTGGTGTTCAACCTTCAGGTTCTAATGCCGAAGTTAGTTAATGGAAGGAAGTGATTGTGGCCTGTCACAAAGTGCCAATCCCAGCATTTGGCTGGTCAGTGAGGATATTCAATCTCCAGACCAAAATTTGAACGCAGGGTCAGCAGGACTGCAAACTACTCAGCAAATCTTGAACACGTACCTCTACCGATAATGGTCCCTGGGCAATAAGTACTGCTTCCATTGAGATTCCAAATGACAATTCACCCAGACAGGTCTGAGCACTGTCATCTCCCTTCTGTGCATGCCTCAACATTTTTGCTGTAGCAGCTGCTACTGTCACATTGACCAGCAATGTGCGAGCGTTATGGACGATGCTACCGTCAAGATGCACTTCTCCTGCTGTAGCATGCACCAACCATTCTGGGGATTCGGCACGAAGGAACATAGTGTTCACATTGTACACATGAATGGCCATGAACTGTGCAAATGTGATTATCACTGGAGGAACCTTCTTGTTGTAGAAGTTCACTGGTCTACGATCTTCCAGACCAGAAGAGTGTTGCAGATTTTCCGCTTTGCCATCAACTGCTCCCACATCTTTGTTGATACGTACATCTCTCACAACGACTGCTAAAAGCTTAGTCACTTCACTGCTGAAGAAGCTGCTTCGGAAACCAATCTCATCAACGTGCTGTAACCAAAGACGCAATGCAGTAAAATCCTGGATTAAATGAAACCCACTGGAAGACCTCTGTGCTTGCCAGAACATAGAGTAGAAGCAATGAAAATTTATTGCTAACAAATGGGAACTGCTTAATCAGAAAACAGAAATTGTAAACAAGATCACAGTATAAAACAGTCAGCTTCACTGAGCATTCAGTTTTGTTCTATACCATGGCACATGAAATTTATCTAAAAAGCAACATATTTGTTGCAAATGGGAAACAATAAAGACCTGCCAATGACAAAATATGTGGAGAGTACTTTAATGTACTAGTAGAAATATAAGAAAAAACAGATTATGTGTAATTAGTGACAGTGTAGTACAAAATGCACAGCACATGTTTATGCTTGTGATTCAAATCACATAAAATATTGCAATACCATTATAATCAAGTCTTAAATTAATTCCACTAAGCAGAGTCCTTCTTGGGAAGCTAACAGTCGCTAAGTTAGCAAGAAATTCCCACCTTTCATGCAGCAGCCCAAAGGTTTGTTTCTGTGTTCACAAGAGCCCACCACATCTCAGGCACTATGTATCATTTCATGACCTACTCCAGGTCTCCTAAGCTGCTCAATAATACATAACTTGTTTCACTGTGCCCCAAATTTCAGCTGTGAGAGCTGTTCCTCACCAAAGACTCAGACACATTCAAACCTTTCCATCAGGAAAAGTTACAGACCACACACACATCAAGAATTTCATTCATGTTGTAGCAAGCTACATTGCACAACCAATCACCAGTCACTGTTTAAATGGATTAACACACACATTAAAGTTCAGTTTCCAAAATGCCTTTCCTTACTTATATACATAAAATGTGTAATACGCTGCCAGCAAATAGGTCAGCATTACAGCTGGACTTGTTTGAATTTAGTCTGTAATTATTACAAAATTTCAATGGTTGCAGGACCCAAACAAAACAAATACGGATAATCTATGTAGTGTGGGGCGTGACGCTAGTAGAACCTTTAGGAACAAGAAAATGGAATATCTGAAAGGAAAAATTATTGAGCTTGAGACAAACTTAATACATATTAGGAAATGACCTTTACTCTCAGCATCAGATAGATGAACATAAACTGTCACCTTCATATCATGGCCACTTCACTCCATAGACAAGAGCACCAAAGCTGGGTGGGCCGCAGAACCATTCTGAACATAGTGACAAGCAAAACGGACCCTTACCCCTGCCAGGAATCAAACTCCAGTTGTCCAGCCCATAGCCAATGTCTATCCTGACTCTCAGCAACTGGGTTGTACCATAAATTATGATCCCTCTTTCAAAATGTTTTCCAAAAGGATAACCAATATAAGAAATGTGCATTGAAACATGTGAAATTGTTTGCTTCCATTAAAGACACATACATTGTGCAACAAAGTTACAATTCAAAGATGGCCATCTTCTGGGTTGTTGCACTGTGAAGTCTTGTAGAAGTTTAGCTATGTTTCAGAGGTGCTTGCTACCTCCATCACTTGGGTAACGATTCCTCCATCAGCACTCTGATAATGGATGTAGCAAGCATCTATAAAACATTGGTAAATCTCTACCACACTACAAGGTACAACAACCCAGAAGACAGCCATCTTCATACTTGCTGCTGTAGGAACCTCAAATCTCACAAGTTAAAACTCACTTTCTGTTTACAAGTAGTATCAAACTATATTATTACCTAAATATCTGTGTCCCATGAAAAGCAATAACAATCTTCTAATGGCAATAGTACACACAGTAGTAAACATACAACTAAATACAGAAATGGGAGTAAACTGAATGTTAAGATTATAATTGGGAACAATTCTTACCACAGAAAACCCACTTTTTGAAATGTGCACATCTTTCAGAGTCAGGTATGGAACTGCAATTCTTCCTATCTGCACTTCAACGAAGAACTTTCTTTTCAGAAGCCAAGCCAAAAGTTTTGGCAATAACCTATACAAAAGACATAGTAACAAATCTTCAGTTGAAGTAATTCAAATGCTCACAAATAAATACTATGGCATAATTTTAAATAAATGCAAAAAAAGGGTTCAGGAATCTACATACAAAAAGAAAAGAAAATATTCATTATCAAATATTACAAAGTAAATATACGCCCTTATTCCATTATATCTGTGTCCTCTACCACATTTTCACTATTGTTAGTAAATTTTAACTAGTCTGTGCAATAGCCACTCCAGGAACACTTTAACAATGTGCATACAAATATGTAACGTGAAAATGTAAAACCAAAATATCTTTATTTGTTGTGGGTGGATGGGATACAACCTGCAAAACTTGTGAAAAAACTTAACAAAATTAAAAGGAAAAACATTTCCACTGCAATACACTTCATGTAAGTTCACTGCTCTACCCAAAACACTGAAATGAAGTATATTCCAGATAAAATGCACACACTGTATACAAAATTATCAGAAGCCAAACTGGTAAAAACAAATATTTTTAATATTTCTGCAGATTAAAATTTGCATTAATGGTTATTGTATTTAGCTAAATCTGTCTGTTTTTGTTAGTTATGCTTGATAGTAGGCCTTAATAGTTCTGGTCCAAATAAGTATAAGATCAACAGTAAATATCTGAATTTCACACTTTCAAATATATTATACTACGGATAAAATTAACCAACTCCATGTACCAGTCCTTCTGAAGAAATTCCCCGCCTTTTACAAAACCCGAACATCCATTATTGTGTTCAAAGCAGGCTGCCAAGTCTGAGGCCTTGTGTAACATTTTGTATCAGGCTGAGCTGTTAACGCTCTGCCTGGCCCCAAGCTCAATGACTTCCCACTATCAGCTATCAGTAAATCTGTTTCAGTATATCCACACATGGTGATTAGGGACCCAAATAACATGGATGAGACATCCACAAAACTGCGTAGGTCATCAACTGTAAGGTTTAGGCAATTTGACCTGTTCTGATTTTCAATGGTAGTTCCTACAGGATAGCAGTCAGACAGCATCTGAGGAATTTATAAAGTTGGGATTCTTAAAAAAATGTTCTAAATAATGAAAAAAATGTAAGAGTTAAGTTTGTTTACAAATACAAGTTGTAACAGACAATGCACTGTTTAACACCTGGTTTCTTCAGTGTACTGTCTCTTCCAAACATGCATTATTATTTTACAATTAATGTTCACTGAATATTATAATCCATTACTCTTTTCTCACCCTACTTTTGTATTGATAATACTCCTACTATATTATGGCAAACCTGATATATAATTTATTAGTGGAACTATATAAAATGTAGCAGTGATATAAACATGCTATGTTTTTGGAGTGGGACTGTTTATGTTACCAACTACTACCAGAAGGAGCCAGACTGCAACTAAGCAAGCCAGAGCAGCAGACAGCATCTTACAATGCTAATTGCAGTGGATAGTTAGAAATTATTCATCCTATTTCATGACACATTTAATACACCAAAAACTGCTTCTTATAAGGTGTTGGTCTGAGCTTCACATGTGAGGGTTATAACGGTCTTATAAGAAACGGTGAAGTTGTCCATGGTGCCATGGAGACAAACAGTGTGGGCTTTCAGAAAGGGAAGTGGAGAGCTCATGCGGACACATGATGGCAATGAGGAAAACTTCTACAGAGTAGTAGTAAATGAAAGCGAATGAAAAAGGCTTGAAGACGAGCATATATGCCCAAAACACGGCATAATAGTGTATCATATACAAGACATTTATTTAGAGTTTATTAATGACACTTTTTAGTAGCTCAGGCTATACAGCAATATATCATCAAATGAAAGGATGTGAAAGGAAGGAGTCACAGCCTACTTTAAGGTATTATCCTGGCATTTACCTGGAGGGGCTTGGGAAAACCACAAAAATACATCAGGATAGCCAGTCTCTAGGCCGAGATTTGAACCCGGGACCTCCAGAATTCAAAGCAGAAATGCTAACTGCTCAACTACAACATTTTCTTTATAAGACATGAAGTAATAATTAATGTGTTAAGTAAAAATGGTAATAATAAACATAATGACCAGAAAGTGGCAACAGCCAACCAAACAATAGTATATTACCTTCAGATTACACCAGCTTTATTTATCGATTTTACTTTCTCAGAGCATTACAATCCAGAAGACCAACACCAACAGGCTAGTTTAAGGAAATAATGAGACCTTTTCTGTAATTCTGCTAGCAGTATCTTGCAGGTTTTTGGCATTGCCAACCTAACTTACCGTGTGCCTATGTACACTAGAATTTTAGTGTATGTAAGTTAATGTGCCACATTTAATTTCATTGGTATGCAAGAAATGAGCTTCATTCGCATTTATAAAGAATATGTACTGTTACCACAACACATGGCACAACATAGAAAATAAAGGTATTTACATTAGGAAACATGGGGCTTGTGCACTAATTTTAGCTTATGGGGCACATTTGGGAAAAAAAAAAAAAAAAAAGGCTTCCTTATGTTCCAGAAAGGATGAATCGATCAGAAATGGGGGACGACAATAGCCCTGAAGCAGTTAGCCTACCATCATCTCACCTAACCTAACCTTTGTTTTTTTACCTAGCAAAGCAATGTAAAGTACACAAGGACAGTGAAACAAATTTTTAACTCGTTTCAAACATTGCTTTTATTGTACGTTAGAACTTGCTTCGGTTCTCCTATTTATCTACCGGTCAATTCATCATATTCACGTCAGCAATAACCTCTTAAATCGACAGGAAACTGGTTACACCTACCACGACACACTGCAATAAAGCAAAATACAAAGCAAACAAAATGTCGCAAATCCATTCATAATTTCAATTCACACTGTTTAGCCAAATAATATGCACGGCAACAGTAAACAGATATAAATCATCATCTATCATATCACTAACTTGGTCATGACCACAAAGACAACTGACAGACCCATGACATTTTCATGGCTAGTAACGGACTAAATTATCTTTATGCGTTTGGCAAAACTGAGTAGAATTTAATAGCATCTCTGAATTTTAAGTTGAGATATAGCAAGGAGATAGGCCCACAAGTAAAAGTAGACAAACTAAATACATGAGCGTAATGCGGGATCAACATTAGCAACAACGGCGAAATATTATTATAAGTAACACATCATTTGAAAATGTTTCAAAATTTAAGTAACTGGGTACAATAACAAATGCAAATGAGCTCTAATCCTTAGATATAAATGAACGCCATGATGAAATTAAGAGTAGATTACATTCCGCAAATGCTTGCTTCTATTCAGTCCAAAAACTATCATCATCCCGTTTGCTATCCAAAGCATTAAAGATCAGGATATACAAAACAATTTTGCCTGTTGTCTTGTATGGTTGCGAAACGTGGTTTCTTACCTTTAAAGGACGTAAATTAGAACTGCATGGACCGATTATGACAGCTGACCTTGTAGGGAATGAACAGTATGCGGACCACTCAATAAAGGAAGGAAGGAAGGAGTTTCCGTCGGTCAGTACAGTCTGTGTAAGTGCAGCACTATTCAAATCTTAATCGTATTTGAACACTTATGGCAACATCTCGTCAAGCCGTTACATTACGCCACTCCTAGGCACGCTTCGTCACGATTGGTCACGCTTTGTAAATCTTCACGTTTCGACACTTATGATGATCCCTTTTCAAGACGTCAAAGCACGTCACGCCGAGACACGCTTTGTCACTAAGTCACGTTTTAGCACGCTTACGTTATGTTACGTAAGAGTCGGTTAATTTTTGTTAATTTGCAATACTTTCGATGAATTTACGACAGGTTAGGTTAGTATAGGTTGCGTTAAGTTAGGTTTTGTTATGTTGGGTTAGATTAGGTTAGTTTGTTAGATTATGTAACATTTTGAAGATATTTGTCACGTTTCGGCACTTATGGCCAATCTCGTCACGCCGTTACATTACGTAACGCGTAGTCACGTTTTTAAAATCTCGGTGATGTTTTAACACTTAAGGTGTCCTCTCGTCACGCTTTCAATGGAGGTCACGCCTAGTCACGTTTCGTCATAAATATATATAGTTTTAGATAATGGAGTGGACAGCAGCAGCGGTTATTGATGAATCGAGTGATATGTCAGAAAACGATGATCTGTGAGGAGTGGAAGAATTAGAACAGGGCCGAAGAGTTGTGAAGAAGATAACATTTCTAAAACTCACTGCAGTATTAATTTTCTAGTGATGTGTAGTATAGTGAAATCGACTTTCCTGTGTTACGTAACGTATGGTTATGTTTTATTTGGAGTGTACTGTACGCGGCCTGCTGCCACCCCTTCCAGGAAACGTCTGGAAAGTGACTCGCTCCGATGTTCCAATTCACAAAGTTCACAGGCCAAAAACGCTGGAACGCAGTACACAAGTGATTGAAAGAAGGTACCCAGGAAGTTATTTGAACCTAGGAAGGATGAAAGAAGTTGAAATTGAAAATATTACATAACGAGAAGCTGCGCGAATTGTACAGGTCACGTAGCAGAGTGAGGATAGTGAAATTCAGAAGGCTCCGATGGGCTGGACATGTAGCACGCAAGAGGTTGTTGAGGGAGGGGAGGAAAATGTGTATACATTATTTTGGTAGGGAATCCTTATGGAATATGATCACTGGGCAGACCAAGAAGGAAATGGAAGGATAATATTAAGATGGATGTGATGATGGTAAATGGATGGAGTTGCGCGCCCAACAAGAAAAGGTCTGGTAACCCAGTAGCCCTGAGGATGAGAACAGAGATTGCTCTCGAAATGTTGGCAGAAGGTATGGTTTGTTCACCGTTCAGCCACCTGACAATGCTTATAGCCCGAGAATCTGTTATCAACTTCAGTCCTCATACAAAATTCAAGTACGTGTACTTGGGGACGACACTAACAAGTCAGAATGACATTCGTAACGAAATCAAGAGCAGATTACATTCAGGGAGTGTTTGCTATCATTCAGATCAAAATCTTTTGTCCTCCCATCACAACAAGAAAAAACAAACAAACAAACAAAAGTGTAATTTTGCCGGTCGTGATGTATGGGTGCGATTCTTGGTCTTTCTCCTTGAGGGAGGAACGTAGATTGAGGGTCTTTGAGAACTGTTGAGGAGGAAGACGGATCATAGAGAAAACTGCATAATGAGCTTCACCTGATGTTATCAGGTTGATCAAATCGAGGATGGGGTGGGCGGGACACGCGACAGGGGAGCGGTGTTTACGTGGCATAGGTTGGGAGACCTGAAGAAGAGGCCATTGGGAAGATCCGGGCACAAGTGGGAGGATAACGTTAAGATGGACCTTAGGGAGATATAGGTATCGATGATGCCATAAAGTCCGGCGGTGGGCTTTTGTGAACAAGGTGATGAACGTGGACTATTTTTTGACAAACCGGGCATACAATCGACTTTCCAAAGAATTTCCTCCACCACAGAGTGAGCGAGTAAACAGTTTGGAAAAAGGAGCCAAGTGGATCAAAACGGTTTTCAGTCTTCTCTTTGTTAACCATTGCTGCTTCTACTAGCAATTTCACTAGCATAAAATTCAAGGGCAAAAGTTGACGTCGAATAAATTATCTCGATTGCAGCGATTAACACATTCATTTTATTCCTGTTAATTTGTTGTTCTTACTTATTATCGTTAAATTACTTGCTTATTGATATCTAATATTTTTCCAACAGCAATGCAATTGCAGTCTAACGGGTCAGTGGGGCAAGGTCATCGTTTACTCGTGTTCTCACATCCACCCGCTGCTCATGGCTGCACTTGCAACTACGGTACAGAGCAGTATTCATTGGCCCCCAGAGTCAGAAGGTAATCAGATTTTAGTACCAAGTAAATGTATTTTTGTGCTCTAATATGTTGCTATAAACTTAATTACAGTTGATTCCGGTTAATTGGGAAACAATGGGACTAGAATACTTCAGCCCAATTATGCGAAGTTCCACGTAAAGAGTTAAAAAGGTTTGTTCTCTAAGTTTTGTCCCAAATAAACGGCCGCCCCGATTAACCGATGGCCCAGTTAACCGGAATCTACTGTAATTGGTGTTTTGTAGAAGTTAAATTTGATGTCGTTTTGGACAAGATAAATTTTAACGCTCTAAGTCATATCAGTATAAAAAGTGGCAAATGCTTCTCATAGACAATTTGAAGCTTTATAAAAGGGAGACGTTTAATTCTCTTACTTTGATATCTGACAAAGTTATGAATTATTTCTTCACGGGTTGGGGGCAGAAATATACTAATTAATTCCAGTACTGTTGAGTACATGAAAGTGGCAGTAAGTTTTACTGGTAATTCGTAGACCTAGCATAATTGCACAAGAACAAGAAGAAAAAGTGTTTAAAGTGAGTAATGATATATTTGAAACGATTCTGAATGTAATTTTGTAAACATAAGCATTTTAAATTGCTGTTCCTCTGATAGAATTAAATATGAAAGTGTCTAATTATGATTATCTGAGTTTTGGTACCGTGGAAACGTTTCTCCATAAAGTTGGCACAATGTGCTAAAACCCAGATCATCATTATTGTCACTGTTGTGAAAACCTCATATCTCACACAAAAAAACATTTCTTCTTAGAGATTTTGAAATCCATTTAGTACCTCAAAATGCAATTTGTTATACCAGTAGCTATTCTTATTCATGTATGATAAGAGACCTAGGAATCTGAATGCATAAAATTTTTAAATTATGCATGACTTTGATGGTTAAAAATTTCTTCTATCAAAATTTAAAACTGAAATATGCTTGCCTTCTTGAGTGTGCCCTTATATCATAACATATGTCCCTCTAAAGCAAAGTCCTTTTCCCAGGGGTAAAGTGGAGATGACCACTCACCTTAATCTAGTGCTGCAGTCTAGAATGAGCAGGAGGAAACCCCCCCCCAAAAAAACAAAAAAACAAAAAAAAACACCTTCACAGCATGAAGCTGGACAAGGTTTACTTTTTACTGCATCCATTATCAGGGCTATTTATTGCCCTGATGATGGAGGCAATAAGCTCTTTTGAAATATCAACACTGTTCATAGGTAGTGGTGTATGAGATGGTGCACTTTTTCATAATTTTAGAGCTTAATTTTTGTCAAAGAACTTAAAACTATAATTAATTATTCCCAGGCTACCAGCCATGTAAGGTGGTTTAATGAAGAAAACACTGTTTTGAAAACCATCTTCATCCTCAGGGTACTCTATTTGTAGGAGAGGCCATCCATGCTCTGTGAATACCTGACCCGTTTCTGCATTCTTAAAACTGCCTCACCACCTCCTGCATATGGGCATGGATACTTCTACAGAAACAAAGAAACACATTGGGTTTTATTTTCAAATTTAAAATGTTATCAATTATCTTAAGAGGGCAAAGATACACACACACTTCTGTGAAATCACTTGCAAAACGAGGCTATATAGAAAACAATAATGCAAGTTCTTAGAATGTGTAATATTCTTCCATCCAGCTAACAAGAGAATTCACTTACCATTTGCAGTTAAAGATCATGCCAAAGCAGAAGGCTGTATTTGCTTGGTTCATTGGAGTTCTTCTCTTCAGAAGTATCATTATGATGGAAAACGGCATAAACTATCATGTACGTATGTGGCTGTCAGGTAAAGTTTCACAATTACAGAACTGCTTACAATATGATCATAATGTGAATTTGAAATTTATTTACAGCCATCATAACCTGTCAATGAATTTACATATTATTTAAAATCACCAACCATAACCATAATGCAACTGAAGTCACTGTATTTTAAATATTGATCTTATTATGCTGTGGTCTTTAGATGGACAGCACAAACTGTTTTCCTTGAAGAGCGTAAATCTTCTGTCTGATGACAGTACAATGGATGGCAAGATCTAATTTTAGCCAGCTTTTTTGTTTTGTAAGGAAAGGAGGTTCATACATTTTGACTGTCCATGTATGTCTCTCCTTACAACACTGTAACAAAGTAATGGGTTTGTGTAAAACTTGGTTTGAACATGCCACTAGAGGTCACTCCACATTTGTGCCTTTTAAACTCCTTCCTTCAACGTCCAACAATTCCAACATGTCAGCTGTATGAGCTTCTGAAATAGGAGTGACATGAGCATTACTTATTCTAAGGTCCTAAAATGTTGTGTGACCACAATACAAAAATATGTAAATCTGTTAAAGTAATCGGTTCATAGAATATGGAACAGGAACAACGTACCACATCTGTAAAATCATTTCACACAAAGAGTGACAAATATATATGCACTACATCCACTACTGGCATGCTACAGGAATCAGCACTGCAGAATGTGACCCTCTATGGCACCAAAGGCTCTACCTCTGGAATTCCCCTCTTTATGTTGGAAATGGATAAACCCACATTCCAAGCCATTTGTGTCATGGAGTCAACAGTCCTACAGTTTGTGTCACTGTCACTAGCAACCTGCAGAGCACTAGGATACGATGCATTGCAAAGGTATGGGACATGCTCCAGTGTAGTATTAAAGAAGGCATTCTTTTGTGCACTCTTAATATATTCATTACATGACACATTCTGAATTTAACAAATATTGGATAAAAACCTACACACACTGCTGGATATGGCTTACATCACCTCTACAAGCAAATTTTATTTCTATATAATTTGGGAAAACCTAGGATAGAAGTGTAGTACACAACATCTAACCAACAGTTTTCTATACAGAATCTACCCCAGTGATGCACATCTCTTGGACAGTCTGTACCACAGCACAGGGCTGCTGCTGGATATAAACTGCAGCATTCTGAAACCAGAGTTGCAGCACTGCAAGTGGCGCCATGCCAAGAAGATTTCCTGTCTGCTGTACCTCGCAGTTCACTGTGCAGGTGTGATTCATTAAGAGCAACTGCCCCCAATAAATCAGCATTCAACCTAAAGCTTCATCGGCATCACCACTGGATGCTCTTTAAATCGAATTCACAATATTTTTTCCAGTGTCTTTGGTTACCCACAATGGACTCTTCCCATGATTTCAGATGTTCGTGGCAGTGCAAATTTAGATTGTGGTCTTCTGGGTGGTTGTGGCATATATAAATGTATTGATTTATTTACATATCTTTATTAATATTTAATTTAATTATGCTATTAATAGCTTAGATTGAAATGGCATTGGGATAAGATGATTAATGAATAATTTAGTGGAAAGAATGTGAAATGAACCAGTCATGCCCTATTTTAAGGTACAATTCTGGCATTAGTGTGGAGAAACTGGGGAAAGCCACTGACACATGTCAAGATAGTCAGTCTCTGGTCTAAGATTTGAACCATTTTTGTATTTTTAAAATTAGGCACAAGTGTCAAAAAAACCTTAGAAAACAGAGCATTTATACCAAATGGTGCACCATAGAAATAAGGCAAGAGGTTAGCACAAAACACTTACTTTCCACTCCGAAAATTATACAGAGGGTTGTCCAAATAGCCCGATGCATTGCAGATTAAATTTTTAAGTGTAAGTTCCAACATTATGAAGATTGCTTGAGATTTGAGGTGTGTCATATAAAAAGGGTTATCCACTGAATATCAAAGGGCAATGCTAATTAAACAAACGTCATGTAATTGTGATCAAACTGTATGCTGAAACACGTTTATGCTTTATGTTACTGATTATGCCTGATGTAAAAATTATCATCATCATCATAATTCACATTTAGCAAATGCTGACATTTTTATTTTGAGTGATATAAATTTTTCCACATGACATTAGGTGGACATTTATAGAGTCTATTGGTCACGGTTTACAATGTTTGACATGACTCCTTGGTCTTACATCCACTTCTAAACATTTGTTTCACCATTTTACATTCTTTATTTCCATTTCATACTGCACCACTATATCTCCTCTTTGTTACCCCATCATTTTATGATTTACTCTTCCTCGTATTTCACCGTTGATCTTTCCAATTTCTCTTTATACTTAATTAAATACAGCCCATCGTTTTGTAGTTTGTCCTTCTGATTTAAATGTATCGCTCAATACTTGTGAATATCTTCTACAAGCTACTCTCTCCAACTTCTGGTTTCCTTACACCCAGTATGTGGCTCTTCTTTATTATATACAGAACACATCCCCTGTTCTGTATTCTTACAAACACCCTTCAACTCCGGATGCCCATTTTCTGCTTCTCTTCTAGCCTTTTGGGTACATACTTCTATGTATAATTACTGTTCTTCAATTCACCGTAAAATACCAATGCGTAAGAGTCTCTTTTAAAAGTTGTTTGAATAAACTTATTTAATTTTTCAGAATGCAATCATGTGGTAGAAATAATAGATGGCACAAAGCATGAAATTGAATTTCCCGCACTTATGCCATGCAATCAACACACAGGGTGTGACTGGAAAATTCTCAACAATCAAACAATGAAGGTATTACATAGTTATAGCAGCAACAGTGACGATGGTTATAAATAACCATTCAACTTCCTGCATCTGATTTTATTGCCTTCTTCCACAGTGTGTTGGCATTGGTTCAGTGGTTATATTACAATCTTAAAAATATGTCAACTGGTGAAATGGTTTTACTGCTTTATTAAGTGACATCATGAGTGATGCAGTGGTTAGAATACTACTTTACAGTCACTGGTATTAGGTCTGAATTTTCCACAGATGCTGACAAGACATTTCAGGAATCTAAGACGACAACTGGAACAGCTTAAAATTCACCAAGACCACTTCCTTCCGCATTCTTCTCATTTCAAAATCATCCTACTATTTGATGCATGTTTCATGCGAATAAAATGCACAAACCAAGAATCTGCAGACCTCTACATTTTACAAAAAAGAAAATGTTTATAATGTTCCACAATACCTCTGCTAAAATGTGTGTCCATAGATGCTTGATGTATAAAGTGTCTTGACAACCAACATGCATATACATAAGTGCATGTATATCCTTCAGTATGTAGATAAATTAATATATATTTAACCTTACATTGAGTTTAAAAGTGATTGATGAAGTCCAGTGATTGATACTGATTTAATGAGAAATTCCAGAGATACTGAAGTTCCCAACTTAAAGAGAGTTTCTAAGTATGAAACTTTACAGAATTCTATGAACATCATTATTATTGCAACTCTGTGCAGACTTTTTCAAAGAGCATAGGCATCAACAGTCTTACCATATCTACTTGTTCATGTGTTTTGGTACTAGAACTCTAAAATTCAAAACAATTTTTCTTTGTTTCAGAAAACTGTATTAGACTTTAGGAAACAAAATACAACTCCATCACTTCATATTGCTGACCAGATGTTGGAAATTGAGTGGTTTGATACTGCAAATGGTACATGGTTTAATTTAAAAGGAACTTTTACTAGGATTTCTAATATGGGTAAGATTAACAGCTTTTTAAGACACACACATATATATATATATATATATATATGAGTAAATAACAATGTAAGTGTGTTTGTGCATTATACGTCTAGATACTATATGCTATAGTTTTTCATCAAGCAGTACCCACTTCAAATCTGAGATCAAAATCAACTTACATTGCTTGTTACAAAAATTATGTGAGTGAAATATTTGGAACAAACATGAATCCTCACATTATTCATCACAAAACCATTGTGGTTTCTAATTTCCTACAATCAGTAATAAGAATGTGATGGATGAACTTGCTGAGGCTGAGTGATGAAAATGCACCAAATAATAAATGAAACAGAAGACAGCCATCTTCAGACTCATCACTGTGAAAACCTCAAATCCTACCTAATATTTGAAATAGCTCATTTTCTGGACATTCCATGAACATTCTTAGTACATAAGTTGAGAAATGTGAAATAGGGAATACAGATATAAGGAAACCAAATTCAGTAAATTCCAAAGTGTTAATTTGTCAGAACTGATTAAACCCAAATAACCAAGTCCAACAAGCATCAATTTATTCACCAAAGAACGTCATCACAGTGAATAAGCAATAGTTGGGAGGGGGTGCCCTGATATAATTCTGTTTTCCTGTAACGAGTTTTCTTTATCTTTAATGATCATCACTGTTATTGTTACAGGTCCAATAAAGATACAATCAAATACTATTATAATTCACTACTATTTTGTGGATTGTCAGTTTTTTGATCTGACAAGTATTATGCAAGGAAACACTGCATCTCTCAAATATTATAATGAAGGTACTGTATAAGATATCAATTGTGAATTTGAATTTACATAAATTTTAACAAGAGAAAAATGGATTATAATATACAGAACAACACTTTAAGCAACTGCAGACCTAAGTGGTTAGTGTACCAGAGTTCCAGGTACAGTCGCAACAGTTGCAAGTTATCTTAGAAAAGAACTCCACTCCATACATGCGCAGTTTCTTGTGAAACCTTACCAACTGTAAATAATATGTGTCACTGTATTTACACTTATTCAATTTGTGCACATTTTATGTTACAGACAATAAAACATTACTTTTACATTTCAGAATATGTTTTCTACAAACAAGAAGCAATCAGTTACTTCGTGCCTGTAGCATTATGCACATTTCTTCTGACTTTCATCATGACACTTGCTGCATGCACATGGTAAAGTGTAAATTAACAAACTTTATATGGTCGACTTAATAAGTGTTCGGCTTTTAATTGATTTTTTCATTTCTTTCAGCTGGATCAGAAAAAGGAAACACAAGATGCACAATAAACATGCTTTTAGTGTGACATATACTCCAGGCCTAAACGTGACATATGAAGAAGACAAAACGAAGCCCGCAGGTAAGTACCATAAGCAGATGAAATGTGGTGAGTCATCTTGTTCTCTGTCATCACATCAGCCCCCTTTCTACTCTGTGCTTAGTCATGCCAATATGAAAGGCTGTACACCACTAAAATGCAGAGACAATGGGTTCAGTTCTCATTAATGGCATTCACACCTCAGAGGAGTGCCTATTGAAACTGCTCCACCCGTCTCTTCATTTGTATGCATATAGCAACTCAAGAACAATTTAATGGATTTTCATTAAATTTATAATAGGGAACTTCTAGTAACACCTGTTACCAAATTCCAATTTTGGTTAAAATCAGACAACAACTAGGCTTTTATGTACAGAACTAAATGCATTTCTGCACACTGAAGTGACTGGGTGGGAAATGTCCAGGTTACCTTCATTACTTTTATTTCCTAGGTTAAAGGTTACAGGTTAAATTATGGTGAATGCACCAGATTTGCTACTCTATAAGTACATTTCATAACTTGATATGTTATGTATAAAGTGAAACTTTCGTGGCGACAAAAGTTGATGAAAGACTCTCAGGCTACAAGCCGAGTCAGGTGGCTGAATGGTGAATACACCATATCCTGTGCCAACATTTCAAGAGCCATCTCTGCTCTCATCCTCAGGGCAGCTGCATAATAAACTGGTCTTCTGTAGCACTCCTGCTGATGGGAACTGAGGATGAGAGCAGAGATGGCTCTTGAAATGTTGGCACAGGATATGGTGTATTCACCATTCAGCCACCTGACACAGCTTGATTGTATACACAGAAACCTTAGTTGAACTTCACCCCATCCAAGGAGTTGAACCAGATGTGTAAAGGATGTATTATTTCAGAATTAATTCTGAATGAGAACTGGAGCAAATGACATACCTCATGAAACATACATAAAATCATTTATTCACCCGTTTTAATTAAATGTTGGTTTATCATTTCTAGTTCTAAATGATGTATAGAATGAAAGATGTGTTTTACTGGACTGATAGGAAATGTGTTGCTTAAACTAACTTCAGTATTACTGTTCTCATAACTAATGTCATACACATATTAGATAAGACTTTCTGTGGATCCCAGATCAGAATGTGGAATAAGTCAGCACAGAGAACGCACAAGAAGAAAAGCAATATATAAAAATGAAAAACTACCATCAGATAAATGTTTAACAATTTAGGTGCAGTTTAAAAAGTTGACACACTTCTTTTGCACTTAAACTTAATTTTACATAATACAGTTTCTATATAGCCATTTCACAGTAAGCTTGAAATTCTGTACAACATTGTGTGATTTATAAATTCATCAACAGAATATATGTGTGTCAAATGAATCCTTTTTATGTTAATTAAAATTGTTGTTTGTTAGTAGACAGACTTAAGTTATTATTGGCAGGCGTTACACAATTTAATTCTTTTGGTATACTGTAAAATTAGTGGTTGGTCATTGGAGAGCAACTAGGCTTTACTTTTATAATATAACAATATTGCTTTGTTACATTTTTGCAGGATCCCACAAGTGTACATCAGAATAAAGTATTTTTAAATAAATAGTAAAAATATGACTGTCATGCTGCTGGAGCCAAAAAACAAAAGAAAAAATTATGTTTTGATGTGACCCAACAGCAGCATTATCACAGCAGGGTTTAACTTAAATTTGAAACACTTGAGTTTCATATATTTCAAACTTTGGTTCTTATTCTTACAAACAGGTTGTATAAACTAGGAAGTAAAATATAAGATAGAGTGAAACACTGTGTCACATCCTAATTGCTGTTGTTCACTTAAAAAAAAGTTTATGAAAATTTTAAAATAAGAATTATTTTAAAATACATTGGTTCAACATTAATTTCTACACTGTAACTTTGATATATATTGTAATTGTTAACAGATATGTGGTCAGCTATTTATCATCAACTCAGCCTGGATGACAGAAGTGCCTGTTTACCATACACTATCTCATATGACTGTACCAAGCACAGAACTGGCGAAAATGAGGTAAGCAAGACGCACACCCTAACATTCATTTCTGCAACACAACGATAAGCAGAAAGAACTGCTGTCTTCACTTGGAGACAGTTGGTCTCCTGTTGCATAAGAACATTTCAAATACTTCTGACAATATTCTGAAGGCTCTATCACATTGTAGTATAAGTAGATTGTTAGATGACTCACTAGAACCTCAAATTGAGCAGTTCAAGTATAGCAGTTAATAATAATTTTGTGGGTGGTATAAGATTTACCTCATATTTTCCATCTTCCATAATAAATCACCTATCAATGTATGATGCCCAATACCTTATAATAAATAAAAAAACGATAGGCAAAATTAACAATGAATGGATTATACAAGGAATAAAATTATGTTGCAAATGTAAAAGGAGTCAGTTGGAACAGTAATGACACAAACACGAGCATTTTGCATTAGGCATTGTGAAGTCCTGAATAGTGTTATAAGATAGGCTAAAAGCAGCACTACAGCAGATTTATAGCAAAATCAATATTAAAATGAAAACAAAATGGAACATAAAAATGGAGACTGGAAAGATACATTTAACTCAACAAATACCATCTCTTTTTACATATAAGAAAGTAAATGATGCAGGAACAGTCGCTAATACCTTCAATTATTGTATTCTGTTAACAGAAAATTATACTTACATTAAGTGGGGAGAGAAAATGCTATTTCACTTTTGAAAGATGCAGTTTCTGTAAAATTTTGTGGTATGAAATTATTGAAACCTCTGAAACTGAGATACTACATTCCCTAAAATCAAAACCTCCCCCTGACAATAATGGGGGAGGAGTGCAAATTTATAAGTTCATCATTATGCAGTTTTCTCCATACCCCATCCTCTCCTCTTCTAAGCCCAAACATCCTCAACACCTTTTTCTCAAACACCTGAAACCTGTGTTCCTCCCTGATCTAGAGAAAACAAATATAACAAAATTTATAACAAATAATTCACCACATTATGCTCTTAAGTACCGGTTACAATGCAAAGTATGCACAGTACTTATTAAATATGAAATTGGTGGTTTTGCAAATTGATAATCATGTAAAGTGGACAAATCATATTGGTTAACTGATACCAAAGTTAAGTAGAGTATGTTACACAGATTTCTGTTGCATGTCTGCAGCACTGACACACTCAAGTCAGTTTATTTTGCCCATTTTCACTCCATAATGAAGTTCAAATAATTTTTGGAGTAATTCATCTGATAGTAAAAAGATATTTACTTTACAAGAGAAAACTGTTAGATGAGTGGCTGAAGTCAAACCCAGAAATTCATGTAGAAGTCTATTTAAGAGATTACAGATCTTAGCTCTTCCGCGTGAATACAGATTCTGACTAATTAACTACACTGTAGACAGTCAATAACATTTTAAAACTAATTTTGCTACACAGTGTCAACACAAGGAATAATAATCAGCTTCATGGACCAGTTGTCAATCTGTCATGTTTTCAGAAGAGTGCTTATGAAGGTATCAACACTTTCAATAGTATACCATCAAGTTTCACAAGTCTTGTAAATGAAAAGGCACAGTTTAATGTAGCATTAAAAAGATAATTACACACTCCTTTTACTCTGTTAATGAATTTCTAATGTTTACAAATGTCATAATGATCATTAACGTTTTCCTATCTTCATATAATATGTACTGTATTATTATGACTTATTTCACATCTTGTTGTCACCTGACTAACTTATGGAACCATGGAATGTAATAAAGTTTGTAAAGGTTCACAGGTATGCACGTATGCATGCTGTATGTGTGTGCGCGCGCGCGCGTGTGAGCATATGTGTGTATGTAAGAGGCAAATATCAAACTGAGAGATTCCAGAAATGGTAAAAATGTAAATTTTTGTTCTGAACAGTTACTAATAGACACCAAGTCCCATCATGCAGAACCACTGAGAAGTGCAGTGACACAGTTAACAACGCTGCACAGAAAGTTGTCCATGAATGCACAGAATTATGGGTCAGAAGAAGAAGAAGAAGAAGTATTCTCATGCAGTTCTCATGAATCACTTCATAGCTTTCATTCTGTATACCAATTTGCACATAATTCAGTCTCAAGCTCAGAGTCCTTCATTAGCATTAACCAAGAGCTGCAAAATTTAAATGAAATTTATGACAAAAGCTAATATGGGTACAGCATCTACCTGCAAGCTTTACTTCAACTTCTTTGTATGTTACACTGAGGCCTTGAAGATGTGGTTTCACTGAGCACTTAATGGTTTAGTTTTCTAATATGACAGCTGAAAGAGAGGGAAACAAATACATAAAGATTAAATCAGCACTTAAAATTCTCCCTTGTAAATTAATTTATTTTCAACATGTAATAATTCAATTTGTCTATTTTTAATAACTGGCCTTTATTTCTAATATTTAAATATTATTACCTTGTATTCTAATGTAACAATTAGTTATATGTACACTTATTCCAATAAATTAGTACTTATAATAACAACAACGACAATAATAATAATAATAATAAAACAAAAGTAATCCCAATAATTACCACTCCTTGCTCTTATATGACCCACAATTTTTCCAGCATGGCATAGACAACCGGAGTTCCTTCACATATAATCTACCTCGTTCTGCAACTCATAGGAACACTTTCTGATGATGCAATTCTGCAGCATGGAGAACACAAAATACTGATGTCAGTGCAGGGTGGGCACTATTCACATAGTTGATGTAGTATGCTCTTTTGACAATATTTTGGAGATATGAGTTTGAATTCACCATCTGTAATGGAAATGTTTCTATAGGAGAATATTCTACTTTCTGTCACAGGCTACTGAGGGAAAAGCTCTCTTACTCCCTGAAGAAGTGACTGCAATTCGCAGTGGCTTTCTCCACTTAAGATGGCATTTAATAAAAAGCTTTTGGGGATGAGCAGTGTTAAACGTTCAAAAATAGTCACATTGCAGTAGCCATCTGCAATGTGACAATGGCTGCATATCTTTTGGAAGTCTTATTAGGGCAGGAAGCAGGCAAAAGTGGGATGTGATGGATCTAACTGGTGTTGCAGAAAAGTGAGTTTCTATCCAATCAGAAATGAGCATATGACTGAGGAAAAGTTTCCTTTAAGGGGCATGTGGTAAGGAGAAGAGGTAATAAAAGAATTTTTGTTCAATTATTTCAGTTGCTTCCCAACACCTCCATATCGTCAACAGCTAACTTTTTCTTCATACATCCTGTGTATGTACAAACAAACATGGTGATGCCATGAACCTTTGAGGTTATGGTTCTGAAAGCAGATCCCATTTCCAGCTTATATTACTTTGGCTTACACCTGACTGACTTATTCATTAATGGGATTAACAACATATTAACGTATATTATAAATACTAGAGAAGCATACTATTGCCACATGACACAAACTAATTACACATTTCATACTACCAAGCCAATGCAAGAATCCAAGGGGACTCCCTAAAAGTTTGGAGGCCCTTCCTCTCAAAACGACCTTTGTATCAAATAAATGTGATCAATATAAAATCTTAACTTAATGGTTTTCTTGTATTCTGTCTAAATAGTTTTTAATATTCTGAAGAAAACAGAATAAATCAGAAGAACAGGATTTATTTACATTCCATAGATCCTTCACAGGCCTAAGCCAAGGATGTAGAACATATCAACAAAACATTTAACATCATTAATAGGTGTGTAAAAACATGCCTTGGCACTAGCCCTGACATGCCTAAGTGAAAAAAAAATCTTAAACTAAAAATTTAATGTGAATTATTTGTACCAAATTTTAAGTAAGTGTAAAGAAAGAGATGGACAAACAAGATTAGTCAGTACTTTCCACTCACAAAACAAGCTTAGAAACATTTTTGGTTTAGAGAACAGTATTTTTGTATATAACACCTTGGTTCCTTCTGCCCTTTCAAAGAATGAAAACGAAGAGGAGGGGCTGTTTCCATGACAACGAAAATAAGCAATATCAAGCAGTTATGTCTGTGACACAATGCTTTTATTGATCAGTTCCTGCAGGTATAAATTAATAATTGTATTGAAATAATTCCACATACCATGTGTAAAGAGATATATGCCTATATATACTGTCCTTGTGGTTAGCTCTTCATTTATGTATCTTCTCAGTTACTCTAAATTGGAAGTCAAATGCCACAATAATTCAAATTGCTTGTGATTGATTCTAGAGGTTATGTGATGTTGAATGTGACAGAAGGATGTTCAAGAGCAGTGAATGATTTGGAAGGAGGCAGTTGTGGCCTTTTTATGGCACTATCCTGCTATTCACTTTGAGAGACTAAGAAAACCATATATAACCTCACTCAGGAGAGCCAGGAATCAAAACAAGTAAATATAAGTCTAGAAGTTACTACTAAGCCAAGCTGTTATGTCACACTGTATCTAAATCATAGGATACTAAATACATTCTCATGTAGCTGATAACCTGAGAAGACTTCATTGCAGCAACAGATAATATATTAATATTAAATGTATTTATTCAGAGTAAGCACAGTGTGTAACAAATATAAATAAATAGGAATATTATAAATGTAAAAACAGTTTAAGAAAAAAACATCTCACAATGATGAGATTAAAAGACAGAACTGAACAAAATCTCAATGCTATTACCACACTTTATGAACTGCTGTCAAAAGTGCTGAAACACACCTCAATTCAAAATGTTGGTAGTACCTTAGACTTAAATCATGACACACTATTCAAGAAACACTGCTCTGGTAAGCAATTTTAATTTCTTCTATGTTTAGTTTTTGTCTAATAATAAACCTGAAACCTGTTCAAGTACTTAATTTACATTTTATAGGATCAATAAGTGGTAAAATGGTGCTGACAAGTAAAACTGGCCTCATGGAAGGAGTACGAAAACCTGTGAAGCGTCAACAGACAGTGAGTACCTGAATATGTTAGGTGAGATAGGGGAACCCACAAGCATCAAAAGAGAAAATGATGACATACCATTTAAACAGTTTATTCCAAGGAGTCAGTAAAGTGATGGAATTTCTGAAATAAATACTGTCAAGCCAGAGTAATTGATTGCTCTGAGACCTATTCCAGAATACATGATTCTTGATACAAAAATCAAGTACTCTAAATATATATTATTTTTGGCCTACTCATAAAAAACTGAAAAACACAAAACACTCTTTATGTTCAAAATTAATATTCAGAACATAAAGAGCAAAAATAAAGTCACAGATACTGTATATGAATACGTGTCTGCATACACCTGCATATATTCATAATAAATAAATATATAAAAACTCAAGTGATCATAGAGTATTTCCATATCACAAATTATGTCTCTGCCCCACTTTGTTGAACATCACAAATCATGTCTCTGTTCCACATTTTTATGTATGTCTGTAATCTACTTTCATCAACCAACCATTGGCCAGTGCAGACATAACTGCCAACATTTTTCTGAGAACTCCTTTTGTTTCCTTCTCAGACAAAAGCTTAAAACATTATTTATTTTCACATAAACACACTTGCACTGAAGAACCCCTAACCTATGTGAAACAAGTCTACTTTGGCTGAATAGACCGAAAAAAAATTTGGCATTTTAAATCCTTACTATAAATTATTATTATTATTATCCCATCTATTCACCAAATATAAGTCTAGAAGTTACTACTAAGCCAAGCTGTTATGTCACACTGTATCTAAATCATAGGATACTAAATACATTCTCATGTAGCTGATAACCTGAGAAGACTTCATTGCAGCAACAGATAATATATTAATATTAAATGTATTTATTCAGAGTAAGCACAGTGTGTAACAAATATAAATAAATAGGAATATTATAAATGTAAAAACAGTTTAAGAAAAAAAACATCTCACAATGATGAGATTAAAAGACAGAACTGAACAAAATCTCAATGCTATTACCACACTTTATGAACTGCTGTCAAAAGTGCTGAAACACACCTCAATTCAAAATGTTGGTAGTACCTTAGACTTAAATCATGACACACTATTCAAGAAACACTGCTCTGGTAAGCAATTTTAATTTCTTCTATGTTTAGTTTTTGTCTAATAATAAACCTGAAACCTGTTCAAGTACTTAATTTACATTTTATAGGATCAATAAGTGGTAAAATGGTGCTGACAAGTAAAACTGGCCTCATGGAAGGAGTACGAAAACCTGTGAAGCGTCAACAGACAGTGAGTACCTGAATATGTTAGGTGAGATAGGGGAACCCACAAGCATCAAAAGAGAAAATGATGACATACCATTTAAACAGTTTATTCCAAGGAGTCAGTAAAGTGATGGAATTTCTGAAATAAATACTGTCAAGCCAGAGTAATTGATTGCTCTGAGACCTATTCCAGAATACATGATTCTTGATACAAAAATCAAGTACTCTAAATATATATTATTTTTGGCCTACTCATAAAAAACTGAAAAACACAAAACACTCTTTATGTTCAAAATTAATATTCAGAACATAAAGAGCAAAAATAAAGTCACAGATACTGTATATGAATACGTGTCTGCATACACCTGCATATATTCATAATAAATAAATATATAAAAACTCAAGTGATCATAGAGTATTTCCATATCACAAATTATGTCTCTGCCCCACTTTGTTGAACATCACAAATCATGTCTCTGTTCCACATTTTTATGTATGTCTGTAATCTACTTTCATCAACCAACCATTGGCCAGTGCAGACATAACTGCCAACATTTTTCTGAGAACTCCTTTTGTTTCCTTCTCAGACAAAAGCTTAAAACATTATTTATTTTCACATAAACACACTTGCACTGAAGAACCCCTAACCTATGTGAAACAAGTCTACTTTGGCTGAATAGACCGAAAAAAAATTTGGCATTTTAAATCCTTACTATAAATTATTATTATTATTATCCCATCTATTCACCACTTTATGGGGTATGTACTTCCATGTACCCGAGACAGACCTTGTCCCTAAGGTACATAGGGCAGCAGCTATTTCCGGAATACATATTGTTTTTAGCAAGTGCTACATGTATTATATAATTTTATTTTATTTTATGACAGCGTCTTTCGGATGATGTATTATTATTATTACCATGTACGCCGTCACAGTGGCTGCATGGTCTGAGGCGTGGGCTCTGTGCTGCTTGGTCACTGAAACAGTGGGTTCGAATACCACTCAAGGCCCATGTACGCCGTCACAGTGGCTGCATGGTCTGAGGCGTGGGCTCTGTGCTGCTTGGTCACTGAAACAGTGGGTTCGAATACCACTCAAGGCATGGACGTTTGTCCGCGTCTTTCTGTGTTGTGTTGTCCTGTGTACAGGTAGAGGCCTTGTGACAGGCCAATCACTCGTCCAAGAAGTCCTACCAACTGTTTACAGATCAGAGCCAATGAAAAATTGGAACCCGCAGATGCACAGGCACTGAAGAATGGGACGTATAAAATAAATAAATAAAATAAATTACCATGTACACTACAAATGAGAGGGATAATGAGTGCAAAATTCATTACACTGACATTTGTAACATACTTTGTGAAACTTGATCATGTTTCATATCATACCAAAGAGCATTTAAAGAGCTTTTAATAAGCATAAAAATTCACTGTGGGCAACAGTTCCTGAACTACAAAAATTAGACTTTCTTTCTCTGAAAGTAATAGGCCACATAAACTTAACGCTTGTTAAAATGCACATTTTCCATAGTTTAAAATGTTCAATAATGCTGCTGAAAAATTAGTAAACTTTGCCATTATTTTGGAAGATATGACTTGAGCTATGATGTGAATGATGTGTGAAGCTCAAGAGTTTCAGTGTTCTTCCATTTCATGCATTAATTATAATGAAGAATGCAATGTAATAAGGAAGCATTGTGTCTCATTCTTGAGTAATATTTTATGATAGAAATACAATTTGTAATTCATATTTCATATAGTACTTTGTCTGTAGAAAAATGTTAAAACGGATTTTTCTATGCATGCTTTGTCATATAACACTGCCCCTTCTAGAAGATTGATACAATTTTTTGTTTCGTGTAGATGAACTACGTTGAATTCCCTAATATTGCACATCCTGCACCATACACACTGCGCCCATTTGCAGGGGTGTACAATCCCTTTCCATATGGGTGTTCCATTCTATGCAACCATCCTGCAGATTATGAAGCAAAGGAAATCGTGAAGAGAGTCAAGGATTCTTGGGTAAGCAGTAATTATGAATATACGAAAAGAAAATGTTTTTTGTCTTCTAAATCTACACTTCTAGAAACATGAAAACAGAAAATACAAAATAAGGGTTTTGTAAAATATTAATGTTGGTCAAGGAATAAGCTTCCTAAAGTGGTTCCCTACAGTTATGAAATGTTAATACACCACACACAAACTATCTTTTCATAGTGTCACTGCAGAGAGATGTTATCATACAGTTAACAACAAAGCTGCAAAAGTAAGTCTTATCAACTTTGTCATGTCTGTCTATCACAACAACTTGTGAAATGATAATCAGATTCTCATGAAATTTGATATTGGGAAGTGTTTTCAGTACCTTACAAAACTAAGAAACTAAACTCAATGGATAAATAAACTATTAGTCACTCAGCTAGTCAAAAAATGTCCTCATTTTTATGAATATAAACAATGCCCTGATGATGGAGGCAGTATGACCTCTGAAACGTTGGTTAACATCGACCAGACTACACAGCGCAACAACCCAGAAGACGGAAATCTTCAATGATTATGTCCTTTAGTTTGGTGATGAGACAACATACATGTAGGATTTGAGGTTTTCACAGCGGTGAATATGAAGATTGCTGTCTTCTGGGTTGTTATGGCATGTAGTATGGTATACATACTACACGGCGTAACAACCTAGAAGACAGCAATCTTCAGACAACTTAAACTTTGTTCTCTCTGTGCTTACTTCTAAACCAGCTTCTTACCTACTTAACTTAAATCCTTGTTTTCTATGACCATGACACTACCCTTTTACAATAAAGATCTTGTATATTACATAGATTCACTTCAATTATTGTATATGTGTAATATTCATTTTGAGTCAGTTCACTGCCCGTGTCCTGTAACCATATATCAATATATTTTGTAATAAAAGATGAATAAAACGGACAGTAAGAGGATTAATATTCATAATAGTGACAGTTTGAATAACAAGTACAATATCTGCTTGGTCTGAACATCCTAACTCTGGACCATCAACAACTAATGGTAGATTAAAAACTTGCATGCTCATACATATTTTACATAATAGGTAATTACAAAGTGGGCTCTTTGTTTAAAACACTGAATGGATTTATTTCAAACAATTACAGTCATCATCATCATCTACTACAGGGATTGGGCCTATTGGCCCGTTCCGGGACAGTTGCTCAAGGCAAGAATTATAGTAAAATTTATTATTACCTGGATTAATGTCTGATGCTCCATAAATTGCAGTCCAGATTACCTGGATATAAATGTTCCATTTGGTGTTGTAAAACACTGCTCTGAGCTCTGGTTCTGTTGCTCCACTGGCTTCACACTCCTTAGGAACCAGCTCCTTGCTCTTATATGACCCACAATTTTTCCAGCATGGCATAGACAACCGGAGTTCCTTCACATATAATCTACCTCGTTCTGCAACTCATAGGAACACTTTCTGATGATGCAATTCTGCAGCATGGAGAACACAAAATACTGATGTCAGTGCAGGGTGGGCACTATTCACATAGTTGATGTAGTATGCTCTTTTGACAATATTTTGGAGATATGAGTTTGAATTCACCATCTGTAATGGAAATGTTTCTATAGGAGAATATTCTACTTTCTGTCACAGGCTACTGAGGGAAAAGCTCTCTTACTCCCTGAAGAAGTGACTGCAATTCGCAGTGGCTTTCTTCCAGCTAAATATGACAATGGAGAAGACGATGTCCCAGAGGAACTATTTCGCCGTTATACTGACACTGACTCGAGACCCTTAACTCCGGCTCCAACTCTGGAAAGCGTCATGACAAAAGGATCGCTTCGGCGCTGCGTCACACCTGATCCAATACCAACGCACATTTTGAATCCGACTCGGGAGCGAACACTTCTTGTGTTAGATCTCCGCCGAAGTCACAGTCAGGACACTCTAAGTTGGTGCGGCTTAAGTTTCCCTACTACGACCACAATGCAACCACTGACTAAAAACACATCTCTTGTTCAAACTGGTCAGAATTTTCATCTTCCCATAAAGAAGAAAAACAATGTTAAAAAGAAAGGAGCTTTAAGTGCTAAGACTGCGGAGAATGACAGATGTACAAACAACAAGGTATGATACTTATGCAGAGTATATAATCTGGAAGTTGTCTGAAGCAGCTACTTTCATACTGAATTCTGTGATGTATGTAAGAGAATCAATATACAGAAATGACTAGTGACAGTGGCCATGCACCAATCATACACTGTAATTATAAGTCTCAATTCTTCTAATGGCATACGTTCATGTCCATAATTTAAGAGACAAGTGTCCTGAATAGCTTCAGGCCTTTTGGTTATTTGGTACCCAAGCATTGGCAAATTTTAGCAAAACTCCCCAATAACATATTCAACATATTCAATGAAAACCTGTTCAGACATTCTTGAGTTGTTACATGCCAACTGACATATGGACAGCGCAGAGACAACCTTCAACATATAACTGGGCTATTCAGTCAAGTACATCCTCCTTGAGCCACATCAGATTTTGGGACATGTGAAATAATTAAATAAATGCATTTGCTTTATTTCATCCAGTTCATCTCACTTGGATGAAATAAAATGGCATTAATCCCAGCTTACAGTCTTTTTGATAAGATTGAACACATTGTTAAACAACTTCTTTACTCATTTCTTTTTTTGGGGGTGGGTGGAGCCAACAGATTGCAAGTTTGCATTAAGAATTGTACACTTTACCAGTTGCAGCAGCAGATAAATACACTGTCAGTCTCCACTGACACTTTAGATGTACTGGCAGACATGACAGGGGGCAGTGGTGAGGAGGAACCGCCTAAACGTCGGGGTAAGCACCGCCATCATCGAAAGAAATCTGGGAAAGATGGATTCAGAGGGCCTGAAAAGGAATTTCAGGGGCTTCCTGAACCTGGAGAGACACAAGTAAGAATCTATATTAACAAATTTATGGCACCGAATTCCTTTCAATGCTTCAATCTGTAACCTGAAGCTATGAGATATAAATTTATAACTTATAAGACTAATCATCTATTTCTGTGCATAATCTCTACATACATAAACCTGGAAATTGCATCACAATTCATTCTATCACCACATACATATAGGATATACGCTTTGAATATACAAAATTTCATATAATTAGCTCCTGTTATTATGAAACGAAAAGTTGAATAGTCTTACATTATGTTCCAAGAGGAACTTTGTGAACCTACCATATTCCTTAAACGAAGTTTAATATAAACCTGCCCACATAGCTTATAAGCTATTATGAGAGGAACACAATACCATCAGTTTACGTTAACTTCCTTTATCAAATAAGAATAGTGGGATAATGTCAAGTGACAGTACACAAAGCTGGTTATACAACTAATATGAACTTTATATTTATGGAGATCGTCATGCTCTTATATTGGATTCCTCAATTACATGGTCCGTTGGGTGACATCTGGTCTACAAATGTAGGCCTATCAACTCCTTCAACTTGGCATTCATTGTTGCCAGGTATCCGCACTGTGCAGTGACTCCCAAAACACCAGTGTCCAACCTTCCCTGACTTCAGGAGAAATGGATGTTGACCTTGAAGTTCCTATCGCTGAATTATGCAGGTCTAGCCAAGGCGGCAGTTCTTTCATTGATGCAGCTACTCTTAAGCAGTTACAAAGGGAACTAGACCAGGAAGTTATAGACAGTGAGTTCAATCCAAAGGTTTGTTGAAATTCTGTATAACATGCATAGTTTTACTTCAGTAGTCTCATAAAGCAGCCTAATACAATACAGATAGCCCTCGATTTACGACGGGGATGCGTTCCTGGACGAACCGGCTGTACAGGCCCTGGCTATCCTGACAGGAATTTTGTGGTGTTCCTCAATCCCTGTAACCAACTGCAGGGATAGAACTTTAAATTAAACTTTGACCACATCCTTCAAAATCCTAATTAATATTCATCAATCATCCCATCATTCAATGCTACACAGTCTGAGCTGCCGAGAGCATAATTAAATAAATAGACCTTAGTTCCTGGCTAACAATGAATCACTTTTAGCCCCACACTTTACGATGGCCAAAGCCAAGACCATCTCAAACTGCATCAGTGTTATGATTCAGCCTTGCAACTCTATACCACTGAACTGATCTCTCAAATGAGCTACATTCACACCTTTCTCTCTTGCAGTTTGCCTCTTCAGGGAGAGAATGTCTCTCACACTGGAGTTTTAATCCATATTACCTCATTGCATGATAAATGCTTTATTAATATTTATTAACGTTCACTAATATAACACACTGAATGCTTTTCAGAGACACAGAGCACTTAAAGAAGCTCTGAAATCTCGCCCTGAAAAGAAACCAACAAGTGAGGAGATGAAGCAACTAAAATGTGAGACAAGGCTTCCACCAAGTTCTATCGAACACTTCCTTACTGTGCCTAGGAACTTCTCACGCCAGAGTTCCCGTTTTGAATTGCCTCTGGATAGCCGACTGCTTAACAGTATGTGAAATAACTCCATTAAATGTGATATATTCAAAACAGATGTAATTAAAAACAAATCCTCAGTAAAAAGTTATGCAACATCAATTACATAATTTCATGTGAATATTTAAGAATTTAGTTCATAACTCAAACAGAACATAATGCTTATCCATTATAAGCAACAATTAGTTAAAATAAATGGTAAATGTAAGAACCATCGAGGTTTTAAACTGTTAAAATTTCATGTGTACTTTTCACAAAGTGAGCAGCATAGATTTCCATTTGTTTCAGCGATGACTCCTACGCAGTACATACAGAGCTACATTTCCATCTCAAGTGGTCGTCGGCAGCTTTACAATAGAATATTTAACAGGCATAAAGAAAATATGGAAGACAGTAAGACAGATCGTCAAATGCTGGGCCAGGTATAGAAACATTTCTTCTTTTACCTGTGAATGGGCAGCCCATGACATATTCTCTACTTTATACAGGTCATGTTATGAGTTTGAGTGTGTACATCGGCAAGAAAGTGGCACGAGACCCTCGATAAACAGCTGATCAACTCAAAACATAAAAATGCTATAAAATAAAATGATATCTGTTATGTGCAACAGGAACATGGAATGGCTGAACTGATGTCTTTCATGGTTTTCCTCAGTGCCTATATGCTGTGATAGTACTTAAAATAAGCCATGACTGTTTCCTTCTATATCCTTTCAAACACATTATTCATCCACCACTCGATCATTTGATGCTACAATCTGAGTTATTGACAACCATTATAAAATAAACCACAAATGGAACATGATGGATACAACACAACACATCTCCCTCCCACTTATAGCTGCTATCTCGCAGTTCCCTCCACCACCCTTGATGTATTCTTCCCTGTGGCCATTCTTCAAGACCCTTCCCACCAACATTCTGCATGCATTCTGTTTCCTTCATCACTGCTGAATGTCCAGCCCCTTTAGCTAATACTTCTTCAGACCCAAGTACATGTAAGAGCCTTCAAACACTTCTATCAAAGTAAGAGACTATACTTCAAGACCATAAAAACAATAAAATTATTGTTTTGTGTAACTTGATTTTTGGTGTTCATAAAAACACATGAGTTTGTAACATTTTTGAACACAATACTAACAAGCACTTTTCACATGATTCGAAGTCCTCGTGGTGGCAAGAATGATGATAGCCGTCTTCTGGGTCGTAGTGCCCAGGTCTATGGCAGAAGTTTTCCAAACATCTACCTCATTAAAAGGCATTTTTTAATTTGTTAATAATTTAATGTTAAACTTCAAGTAATTGTTGTTACTGTTCCCAGACACCAAAATTGTTATCAATGTACACTGCAGTGTTTATTTCTGAGCATCCCAATAATCACTAAACACCTCAAACATTAGTCGTACTTCTGCCATCAATTCAACCTGTAGAAATTTTGAGTGATAGCAGAACCAACAAACCTACAGTCTAAACCCAATTACAGAAGTTACCACAAAATTCTTTACATTGTTCTGTACACATTCCTAGCACCTCCATAAAAAGATTACATTCACTGAAATTTCCATTTGAATATTTTCCTCCAATACTTCACTACTGTTAAGGGTTTTGCTCACCAGCTCCCCATATATGTAGATATAGATTATAGACAGTTCCATTCTTAGGGTTAACTGTCCCGAGCAGCACTTTTATATTCTGCGACTGCTTATTCCAATACACGTGCAGCTACCTATCTGGAAGTTATCCTGTACCCATTAAATTAGAAACACAATCCTCTGAAATTCACAAACTGCTACTAATTTTGTGTGTAGCAAGAAGGCTGATTACTATCTACTCCTCATATAGTATTTGAAGTTTTCATGGCAGTGAATACAAAATGGCCATATTCTGGGTTGTAGCTCAATGTAACCTGATAGAAGTTTACCAAACTAATTCCACACATGTGGCTTACTCATCGTCCTGATGATGGAGGCAACAAGAACCTTTGAAACAATGGTAAATGTCTACCAGACTAAACGGTGCTACAACCCACAAGACAGCCATCTTCATGTCTACTCCTTGACATTTACTATCACCGTCAAACAAACCAGTTCTTTGAATTTTTGTATTTCTTTAGAATGTGGTGGCAGCTCTTGGAGAGGTAATGGGCCGTCCACTAAGCAATGAACAATGTAAGTACATGCAAGACCTGATTGGCTGGGAAGACTCGGATCTGCTAGGTTTCCGGACATGGGGCGGTATATGTGCACTATGTGAACGCCTTCTTGCATGCCAATTCATTACTTCACTCCCATCAAGATTAACAGACCCGTGTCATGAGGTGGAAGAAGCCGATTTTGAAACGCTGCCACGAAGACTGCAGGGACTTCATCCAGACCCTCGACTAGTCACTATTCTTCACAGTATATGGAAACTGTAAACAACTGACAAAGTACCCAGTGTATTACAATTTTATATGTATATTCATGCAAACCTGTTGAGTATCTGGTAGTCTAGTCTGTATTTTTATATGTGGGACAACATAGCTGAATGGGAACTTAATAAAATCATCAACCCATAGAATGTGGGTATGAATTAGTAAAGATGAAGTATGTCAATCACCTGTACTTGATTACTGTCTGCCACGAACACATCAAATAAAGAAAACTGTTTAAGACACGTAAATAGCTCTCTTATGGTTTACATGTATTAATTCCTAGTATTTATGAACCAGATGAGAAACCAATTCTACTGTTACATAAACAACTATGCTTTTTGTGAGGACATGACTGGAAAGGGAAATTCAAAATAATTAAATAAGCAATGAACAAAGATAAATCTAAAAAACCTCACATGTGCATTTCATTCATACTTTTCTTATGTACATCTACAAACAGGAAATACAGTGTCAAACATATCCAGTCATCTTTATTCTTTCACTTCTGTAAGCTCAACCTGCAGCAAAAATTAATAAATTTTAATTTTTTTTCTGCATTTGGTGAACATAATACACAGCAAGCACACAGCTTTCCCACTGACCACTTCAATGATATAAATATTGGTTACTTATGTAAAGTACAATAATAAATACACAATAATGCCACTATATACATTACTATAACCAATACTGTATAAAAAGACAAAGCCACTTCTGTTTTACATATTTCTTATTATGCAGTTTCAAAATGCTATATAACTGAAGCAATCTTCAGTTCAGAATACTACAATTTCCTTTCAACTTGCGGGATTCAATTACAATGTTCTTAAAACAGACTCCTATGAAGGAATATAATTAAATTTAAGTAAATTATAAACCAGTAATTTTAAATATAGTTTAGAGCTTCATGATACTAAAAAATTACAATGTTATAGCTAGGAACTGCAGTGCCAATTACAAAGTTTCTTTCAAGATTTCTCACTTGATACTGTTAATCGCACACACTTCTGTTGTCTTATTAGAATTTCAACTAAATGTTTTAACTTTCCATCAACACTTTACACAAGCTGTTTTTACTAAACACTTAAGTTGAAATTCTTACATGACAAGCTGAATTATGAAATACTGTGGAACAAATGTAACTACATGACAACCATTTGTTTGAAGAATCATACCAACATTGTAATGGAAGCAATTTTACTTCAAATTAATGTACTACTACTTAGGATTTCTGAACAACTAGTTTCATGTAATATTCATATAAAACCCATCAGGGTTCATGTTGTACACCTCTATTACCCACAGTTTATGTTTCACCATAAACATACAAAAACTCGCTGTTACTTCTTTAACTCACAGCTTAAATTATAATACGAATTAAATTACTAGCATCTAATATGCATATAAAACATAGCACTATATGAACACTTTTAAACTTTCCAGTTTCTAAATATATAATTTAATACTTAACTCCAGCATTATGATAAAATGACTCACATCAGATAATTCCACTGCTAACAAAGGGACCAACGAGAATATTAACAAACTGTGGCATGTAAGAAACAGTAAATTTTTAATTAGCTACAGCATTTAGCAATGGCCGAATTAATATGTCCTTCCTGTGACCCCTGAAACTACCCACATCACATATCATAGATACTGGTTATTCCAAGATCACCAGTCTGTAATGTAAACGGAATAAGAAATTCAGTGACAAGTTTTCTGATAGGATTGTTGGCTATGTGCTTCCAGTTGATTTCCAGTCTCAAATAATCATCTGGTTTGTGTTGTAATGTAACATCTCCTGACCCTTATACTATTTTGATATGAGGAGTGTATCTTAGCGTATGCCAGACTACTGTACTGTATGGAGTTAACTTCATAACAAGCACAATTATAACATGCAAGTCTGACATGTTTGATTTTAAGAAAAGTTGAGTTCATGGATAAAACAATGGAAAGAGCACCACTGCATAACAATGTACTGTATAGCAAATAAAACAAATTACATGCTGTAGCAGTTCTTAAGAAGAACCTGCTTATAAGGTATAGCTCCGGGTATGAACATTTTCCATTTCAGGTAGCTATTTAACCCCTTCTTATGGCCAAATAAAAATACTGCACAGTAGACACTTTGTACATGAATGACCCAAATAATGGGACAGCAATTCATGTTACTTTTATTCATTACATATTATGAACAGTTTATGTCTCTGGTTTTCACATCTTTCTCTTGTTTATAATTTTACCAACACCCCCTTAAAGCATGCTACAAATATTTCATTGCTGATCAAGCTTAATTTGTTTCCAGTTTGCATTCCCTTTCAGATAAATTTCACAGAGCACAGTATAGAACAAAATTCTGTGCCTCAGTACAAGAACCTGATACCTTACAAAAGTGAAAACATGGGACATTACTTTTATCTTTCATTAAGCAAATTAGTATTGCATTACTACATACCATATTCTGCCAGCAGATGATAAGAGCAGGATTACAAAAAAGACAACTGTTTCCAGATGATATAAAGCTGTCCTGCCATACACCATGTAGGTGCCTGGCGGGGAGAGACGGTATAGCTCCTACTCATTCTTGACCTCGGCACTAGATGGGGGAGTGGTCAGCATCATGCCCCGGCCAGACTTTACCTCCAGGAAAGAACCACAGTACCCACTAGATAGGAGGCTAGGTGGGCTCTAGAGCTAGAGAAAAATTCCTCTGCCCCCGTCAGGGTTCGAACCCCAGTCGTCCAGTCTGTAGTCAGTCACTACAATTACTGTTCCAGATGATATAATGACTATTAATATATTAACAATATCAAAAGATTAACCATCTTCAAGCTTCCATGAGTTACATCATAAGTGCGGTCTTTGCACAAATGCAAATATATGAGAGGTAAGGGAAACAATGTCTGATTATCATACTAATGCAGGAGCTAGTAATCATTTCAGTCTGGCTGTAACTGAAGGTCCTAGATGTAACTGTCACCATAAATGATTTAATTTTGTTTCCCTGGAAGCTAGACTGAAGCTAAGAAAAAAGTCCTGCTTCCTCAAAGGTACCTTCCAGTATTGCCTGTCCAAGGAAAACGGAACATACGTACACGTGTTCTGTCCCCAGGAAAACAGATGGCTGTGCTGTGGCATGCTCTCACCCTTTGAAGCACACAGTTAATGTACATAAGATCTGAAAACTCAGTTAGCACCTCCCTAAAACAGACCATGTATTCATGACAAAGACCAATGTTTAAAACATGAGAACCACATGAAAACCATACAGAGTTACTTTATGTTAAAGTATGTGTAATGTCCTCTGTGTTACAGGGTTAGTATGCATGCTGGGAATGTCAGCTACTAAACTACAATAAGTCCGAAATGAAATTAGCCAGCATCGAACAGTGACAGAGGAAAGCACCACACTGTGTTCCAGAATAAAATTTTCTCAGGAACAAGCTGTGTCAATTATTAACAAAAACCCAAAATTTTGGAGACCTTCTCTGCCTCCATAATCAGGAGAATTATGTAAAGTTTAACTGCTGATAATTAAAGTTTCCTCCCATACGGACATTGGCCAATGGGGAATG